TTATTGTTTAATTAATTAATTAATCCCCCCTTGACCTACATTCCCCTACCCTTCCTCCTTGACCTACATTCTCCCCATCCTTCCTCCTTGACCTACATTCCCCCCACCCTTGACCTTGACCTACATTTGATGTAGAATCCCCCTAGTATACCTACTAACCCCCATGCGTGCAGATGAATTTGTGACAAAGCACATTTTCATGAGCGGTCGCTTAAAAATAACAAACACAAATACTCAAAATTTAGGAGATACAAGAGTAAAAGAAAATATTCATCCAAATAAAGATAATGTGATTGTCAGAGAAAGTCCAAATAAAGATGATAATGAAATAGTCAAAGTAAGAAACGAGAAAAAATATCCAGCTTGTAAAAATGGACATTAACCGACTGGTGAATATGTTTTGTGTGCAAAAAATTTGTACATGCTCTAGATGTTCTTTGCCACATGGAGAAAAAGGATATGGACAGAAGCGGATATGCATGGATTGCTACAATATTGATAATATTAAAGACATAATGACAATGAAAGAAGTTGAAGATTTGCGAGGTTTGGCTACAGCAGACATACAATCTAAAGAACTGAAAGGAAAATATCTGCAAAAAGATAGTATACGAACAGAATTTTTATTTGATACTAATACTGATATACATAAGATACCAATAATAAAAAATGGAAGCAAAATATCTTTAAAATCAATTAGATTTGAAAAAAAAAACATACATTAACAAATACATGTGTATTTGACAGTATATGCAATTATTTATTGCTGCTTATTTTGATAAGAACACAATTAAAGATCTTATATATAATGAAACAGATTATAAATTTTTTGAATTAATAAATGAAATAGCATCTCATGGCACAAGAAATTCATCTTATATACTTCGTGCAAAGATTTTAAAAGAAATATTTCCAAGCAAAATGTTGCCAAATAATTGTGTTCTTATTAATTGTAAAGTACCAATTGATTTTTTGTGTAAAAATTTGTTTCAGAAATATGCATCATTCAAGAAAATATCGAAGTGTAAAAAAGGATGCCCTGGGAGATTAAAATTATTGCCACTAGTGCAAGTCAATTTGGATACATCATTAGTGTGGCGGTGCGCGTACGGCATGCGCGCCTGGCCCGCGCGCCCGCCACGTGACGAGAGTAGTGCGCGGCGCCGCCGCTAGGTGCCGCAGGCGCCACTACTTT